TAAGGGCTGGTAGTAAAGAAATGAAGTAATGAACCATGCAAGGTCAGCTAACACAGTAAAATTAGTCAGAATACATCTGACACCAGCAGCGTATCCCTTCATCAACAGCTTTTAGTGAGTCCAAATTTGTTTACTTTTCTTGGAAGACAGACTAATTATCTAACAGCCTCTTGACTGTTTTTACTGTTTCTTTGCACTTTTCTGTAAGATGCAAACCACATTTTTTTCATACTCTTTATTTCACATGCACTTTTAAGAGAGAATATTTTATTTGTCGGAGCTTCTACTGTTGTTTTTCATACCGTGATACTTCTTAAATTCCATTAAATTCACGTTCCAAGATGTGAAATCTAAGTGCTTATCAGAAGCAAAACCCAACAGCCTTATTTATCTGAATCTTGTCAAGAGTTGAATAGGAATGTCAAGACTAGACGATGATGAGGTTTTAACATTAACAGATTTGTAAAGAATGAACCTACCCCAATGTGTTTTTAAGTAGTTTTAAAAAACTGTTTAAATATGGATGTGAGGTAATGCTGTAGAACTAAAATCTAAAGAACAGGTGCTTGTGTTAGAAAATAATGGACTCGAACCCCTCTCCATTACTGAACACCAAACTGTGGTATTGGAATGCAGGTATGTCAAATATGACATGGTGTAATTACCCTTAAAGTTTTGCTGGATGACATCATTTTCAAGACTGTGTTGTTCTGAAGCACCAGAAGCTGACATCACCCCCAAGTGAGAACAGAAAGCACTGAAGAATGAATGCTGGTTCATTGCCTCCAAGAGGAAGCCTGACCAGCAGGTCAAGGGAGATGACTGTGCCCCTGTACTCTGCTCTCACGATACCTCACCTGGAAAACTGCATCCAGTTCTTGGGCCCTCAACGTGAGAGGGATGTGGAGCTGTTGAAGCAGATCCAGAGGAGGGCCACAAAGGTAAACAGGGCTGGAGCACCTCCCCTACAAGGACAGGCTGAGAGAGTTGAGGCTGTTCAGCCTGGAGAAGAGAAGGCTGTGGGGGTACCTTATAATGGCCTTCAAGAAGCTGGGAAGGACTTTTGCGAGGGCGTGTAGTGACAGGATGAAGAGAAATAGCTTTAAACTGAAAGAGGGTAAATTTAGACTGGGTATTAGGAAGAAATTCTTTATTGTGAAAGTGATGAGACACGGGAACAGATTGCCCAGTGAGACTGTGAATGCCCCCTCCCTGGACGCATTGAAAGCCAGGCTGGATGGGGCTGTGAGCAACCTGGTCTAGACAAAGCTGTCCCTGCCTATAGCAGTGGTCTTGGAGCCAGGTGATCTTAAAGTTCCTTTCCAACCCAAGTCATTCTATGATTCTATGAAGAGCAAGTGTTGGGAAAACCAATCAGGTTGGCTTTTGAGCTGATTCTCTATAATACTTCCTTTTGTTTTTGAGGGGCAAAGAATGAAAGGTGCAAGTCTGGTTATTCAGTAAAATTATTTTTCTTTGGAAAGAATGTCCACAAAGTCATTTTTGTTCAGGCACAGTGAAAGAAATCTTCCCTGTCCATTGCTACAAAACTTCCCTCTCCTGAACCACTTTTTCTTTGCTCTCTTCTGAGCCAAACTCAGGAGTGCTTCGGTCTGTCTTCATCTTTTACACACAGCCTTATTTCTCTGATTTGTTTAGCTAGTTCTTGCTTAGGTCTTGCCATATGGTCAGCAGCTGCTAGAGTTTTTGATTATCTCTGCATAAAAGGGGCTTAATTTACACAGCTTAGCACTTAAGTATCCTCTTTGACACTTTATTACACAATTTTTTATGTAGATATACTGAACACATGGTGTGTCTTGCATACATGTAAACTTTAATCAGGTATATCCCAATATTCTCAGTGTCTTCCAGGGATATTTCCTATTATCAGTCTGTGAGTTGGCCTGGTAGCTTTAGGAATGCACAGTATTGTGCACTGAGGCACTGAGCCTCATCGTGGTAACTCTTGGAATTCTTCTTCCTTTTTGCCTATCAAGTCTCTTGGGCATTCACTCATTTCCTTGGAATCCCAATATCAGCTCAACAGTGGCTGACTGTCTGCCTATGGCAAAAAGTCATGATTGGGTATTTGAGTTTAGCGTAGTAATCCTGGTAAAGAAGTAACTCAGGCATAAAGAAGACAAGACTAGCAGGTGTCTTCTGGGTTTAATTTGGTGCTGGCTAGACAAGCACAGTACGTGTAGATGGTCATTCGTTTCAGATGTGTTAATGTGTGTGCATCTCACTGCATTGTCAGGAGCCTTATTCACAGTTACCATGGAGTGCTGCGAGTGAGCATCCAAAAGAAATGTGATTGCTGCTTACACGGGAGGAACAAATATGATTTTAGGGATTTCTTTTGTTGAGCATCTGGGAAGTAATAAGAGGAATAGAATCAATACAGGTGGTGATAAAACCTGAATTATCACTGCTCAGCAGTTCCACGGCATGTTAGTACTAGCCATAATCTTGCCAGAAGATGCAGGTGAATGGGCTCATTTAACTGTTTCTGCACAGCTGTTGAAATTTAAAGTTTTTTGGACCATTAATACATGAAATGATCATACTGTTGGTTGTTGGCTTTTTTTTTCAGTGTATTGTTTGTTTTGTTTTTTTTGGAAGGTTTCCTGGTTAGCATTCTGACAATATCCCCAAACTCTCAAATGAATACTGAATATGTGCAGCGAATTCTTGTAGTAGTTTAAAAATTGGGGTGAGGGACTGTTGCAGGGGAAAAAGGAAAGAAAAAATCCGTAAGATCTCAACTTGTAAGCCTACATGAGTGCATTCACATCAGCTAGGAAATGCCTGCTTGGAATTTCTCTGGAGTTTGGGGATTCAAGGGGAGCTACTGGGCATCCCACTTGCATGGCCTTCCTGGCAAGGAGCAATGACTTCTGAAACTATTGCCACCTCATGAACGGATCAATCCACGCTCTGAAGCAGCTCCCATGGAAACTCTGTGGATGATTTTTAGTATTTATTTTCAGATAAATGCTTTCATATATCTTGTCTGCTAGTTGTGTTATGGACTATGTATGATACATGTTACTGTTGTTGAGATGAGAGGGATTTACTCTGAAGAACTACAACTGAATAATCTCTCCCGTTTTATCTAATCTGTATCTCTAGAAAGTGGATCTCTCCACACATATTCAGGAATATTTCAAATGTATTTTTCCAAATTAAAAGACACGGATTTATTGTTTAAATATGTATAAATATGTGTCTATTGCTGTAAGTAGCATATGGGTGAAGATTTCACGTATAGGATGTAGCCGTGGGCAAGCAGCTATGGGTGTCTCTGCTGGAGAGAATGTGGACCAGATGGTTTCAGAGGTATCTGCCAACCTCAGCCATTCTGTGATTAAAATATATGGATAATTTAATAGCTAGTGTGAGAAATGTCTGTAATCTGGCCTCAAAGCTTCAACTTCAACCCTTTGTAGGGCAACAAGTAGGTAAGAAAATAGTTTAGTTTTAGAGATTTCTGCTGGAAACTTCATTCACAGGCATTTCACTAATAAAGTCATTATTTAGTAATAGAGATAAATAGTGTATTCATGAGTATTGAGGAAGCTTTTACATGACTGAGAATTTTATGTATATTGGAAATGCCTCTCTTGGGCAGCATCTGAAACACAAGAATTATGAAGTAAACCTGAAATGAAGGGAGAAAAATCTGGTGAGAGATGTATCAATATTATTTCAGCATAAAATCTCAGTGCAGAGGATGGCCAGTACTGAAGAGCAGCTCATGCAGCGTTTTGCCTTAATATTTCAGTGTGCAGTTCTAAGCTTACTTTGGGATTTAGGACATGCAGTTGTATAACGGTCAATTTCCTGTCATTACTGTGAAATCAGAATGGTTCTGAGGTGTGCGTTGAGTCTGTCCTCATCACAGTCTCTGAAGCAAGGAGTGATGTTGTTCCCACTTAATGAACGGGAAACAAAGAAAATGACTGTTTTAGTATCAGGAGTATTTTCAGATTTGGGCATACGTCTAGTTCCCACTTTCTCTTTTTTTTCTGCATTAGTTTTTCTGCAGATCTGATCCAAAGATCTCAACCACGGCACCAGAAAATGAGATCAATAATGGCCTAATTTGGAAAAAACGTTGAAGGAACTTGTTAAAGAACTTGTCCATTAACTTCTAGCAGTCTGTGATGCCAGACATGGAGTCACCTCAGGTAGAACAGAAGGAGCTTCTGGAAGGGGAATATATGCTGTACGTAGTCGTGAAACATCTGCAGCTTTCTTGGAGAAAACAGAGTTATATTGGAAGAAATATGGCTACCTAGTGCTATCTTAGTGAAAGAAAATGTGTAACTGTAAGATTAACACTTTTTTGTGATCTTTGTGTGATTTCTTTTTAATTTTATCTCCACATTTCCTTAGATGAATGGAAGTATTTAATGGTGCATATTTTTTCTTCATTTTTGCATCATTTGTTTAAAGTTTACTGTTTTTAAAAAATACCTTACTTCATCAGCAGGTGGTGGCTGAAGTCTCAAGTGCACTGAGAATGAGTAAATGTGTACTTTATGGTTTCATTGTCTATCTGAAGTCTCTCATATTAGTGTTCTTCAAAGTAGATATCATTTTGACAGCCGCTCTGATGCTGAAATAGGTGAAGTAGGGAATATTATTTTGGTTATTTGTCACAGGAAAAAAAATGCACTTACCGACTTTTCATTGTTTTTCTTCCTGATGAAGCAGCAAAGTGTGGTATCAGAGGATTTACTACTGTAATGTCAAAGCACCTAAATTGTGCTGACACAGAATAACTTCCCAGGAATGATGACGGTCAGATATAGTGATTAGTATAAAACCGCTTGAGGTATTTTTTAGAAAGATTTATTCCAACATAACTAATATATTCCTTTTGACAGTGTGCTGGGGATGGCAGTGGAAGTTTTCTTTTTGATAATTCTATAATGGTGATAATAACTTACAAGCTAAGTTGTTAACACTGTTTTATTTTTCCTTTCCTGTAGCCCACATACTGGCTGGCAGAACTACCGGTCTGGCATACCTCAGATTCCCACTGCTTGCATCTCTGTGGAAGATGCTGAAATGATGTCACGGATGTCTTTCCGAGGCACTAAGATTGTTGTGTACCTGAAGATGGGAGCCAGGACCTACCCAGACTCTGCTTCTTTTAACACGGTGGCAGAAATAGTTGGAAGCAAGTACCCAGAGCAGGTGAGTCAGAATATACAATTGTAAGCTCATTTTGCCCTTAAAAATGTGAAGAAAACCCCAAAGAACATCTATTCATAAAATACCCTTCAAATAAGTATCTCTTGATCACCTGTTCTTCCTCATTTTGGACTTCTTGGCATTTAGTTGTTTTCCAGGTAGCAGGATTGAAACCACTTGGCTCATTTGTAATCATAGAATCATAGAATGGTCTGGGCTGAGAAGGACCATGCTAATCATCTAGTTTCAACCCCACCTGCTATTGACAGGACTGCCAACCACTAGGCCAGGCTGCCCAGAGCCACATCCAGCCTGGCTTCGAATATACTCAGATGTGCTGTTTTACAAGACTATAAGCATTGCTTTGTTCTAAGAACATGAAATTCAACTAACTTGTGCACAATTTAACATCTTCATTTCCAAACTTAAAGCTTGCATTAAGAAGTGCTATCTGCACAGATATTGCAGAGCACCTATGCAAGCAAGGGTGAAATCCTAGCACTGCAATAATACAATTATTTTTTTAAATAATTAGTTAAAGTTATGGTTACCAGAAGGATTTGTACTTGAAATTTGCTTATTTTTCTATTAGTAATCTACAAGTGGTTTCATCATCAGCTAAAGAAAGCTTGTTCCGCTGTCTGGAAATAAAATTGTTTTCTTGAGATTTCCTTAACTTTGAAAATGAATATAGGATGTCAGTTTTTTTGTTTTTTTTTTTTTAATTTTAATTTAATTTTATTTTACTTTCTACATTTGGCTGAAATTGTGTGTGTCTCAGATAGGAGGAACCGTCTACACTAAGAAGTATCTGCAATCTGTTTGAACACTGGTTGCTGATTTCAATTTCAAGACATTCTTGTTGCTTTCCTTTTTCTTCCAAGTTCTTACACAAAAATCATACAAAGTACATTTGTAGAGCTGGAGGACTTATCCCTGGTATGAGATCTTCTGTGTCAGATTAAAACACAGAATGAATTTTCTGGCAGTATGTTTTTTCATGAAAATGTTGGTGCAACCTCACTTGTAGCAGCAGTAGGAGTTGCTGCTGAAGTACATCTGCTGAGCCATGATCGCTTTCTAAACACTGTAATCTTCCAACTTCAGTGGGTAAACTGGCCATAGTTGTTACAATGTTGTATCTGTTCCAAGATAGAAGTTCCATAGTGTATGGGAACTGTTGAGTCACAGCCTGAACCACTGATTGATCACCTGAGGCAAGCGCTGCGTCAGCCATAGGAGCACAGGTGAACTAATTCAGCTGTGTGACCACTGGGGTGGAGCCTGGCTGCACCTCTCCTAGACCCCATTTAAGGGCCGACTGCCACTGAGGAAGGCTCCCTTTCTGGAGATCTCTCCTATTGGAGTTTTTTACTGTGAGCTTGGGACACAAGTGAGCGTTTCGTTTTTGACTGTTTCTTTTCTCCATGATAATATTTCTGACTATAATCCTGTAAAATACCATCCTGGCCATGCCACTCTTCTAACCGTGCATTTGTTAATTATACACGTAGCTTTGGCTTTTGATGTCTTAAAATTCTCAGTATTAACACAAGTATGCAATTTCAGAAGCTTGATCACTGGACAAAGAGGTAAGTAATGACCATTGTTGTTGATTTGTTTCCTACCATTGGCTGTGAGTTTAGGTTCCTAGAATGTGTACTGAGTTAAAGACAGTGCCCAAATCTATAAAATAATTTAAGTACGTGCTATCTGAAGAGGTTGTAATGTGCTAATTAGCTAATATGCTACCTTTCCTGAGTTAGGTTTGGTGGATTTCAATAGTATGGCATTTCAACCTGGATTATAAAATGTCCAAATATAACCTTCAAGTGTGCTTTCAAATGTTCTTTGCTATCCTGCTCTGTGTCTTTAAGTAACGAAATAGATTGTGATCTCTTCTTACCCCAAAAAGCTCAGGTTTTTGAAATGTTGGATAAAGGCTTATTTACAAACCCCCTGCTGATGTAAATGGGAGTGGTAGCGTACACACTTTGAAAAAGTAACCAAGGAACAGAAAAATAAAACAAGTGAATGTTTAGGTTTTATAGTGCTCAATTCTTGGAAGCTTAATAGATGCTTCGCTATGCTAATTCAACTTTGTTATCCAGAAAAATCTAACCACTCAGGCAAAAAAATACATTGCAGACCCAAATTCTTGCAATGCCTTTTATGCCAAAGTGTTTAGAAATGCGTTACAAGTCCAGTGGAAGAGAAAGGTGCTGTTTCCTGTGGGCCAAAATTTCAATTTGAGGTTTGAAATGAAACAAAGGCAAATTTGTATCTCTGAACTGTGGGTGAGAAATCAGCAGCGGGTGGCATAGCTGTGACAAAGGTCTAGAGCCATGCAGTTCAAATTAGTCTGGAGCCTGTGAAACATTACTGATCACAGATATTGCAGTTAATTATAAGTTAAAAGCTGGAACAGAATTGAAAACGAGGGTCACTGTGGAATACAGATGAAGTCTGGTGAGAAGTGACACAGTTCTAGATGTAACTATGTTAGGGATGCCTGTGATTGTCTATGTATTTACTAGAATTTAATATACTGCCTGGTTTATAAATCATTCATTCCTTCTGAGACGTTAGCATGTTTGTTAAAAGTAATTACCAAGACATAATTGTTTAAAAACTCTATCTGTTGCAAGCAGTGTTGATTATTATTATTTCGCCGCTGACCACTCCTGCAGCATGTCAGTTCAGAGCCTCCTTTTTAAGTCATTTTTCCATGTGACTTTTTTTTTTTTTTTTTTTTTTTTGGTGGATTCAGGCATGTAGCAATGGAGGAGGAAAAAAATAAAATAAAAAATAAAGTAGTTGAAATACTGCTGGCCTGTTTTCCTACAAGTGCTTTGTTTTGTTTTTTTGCAAGGAGTGTTTGATGTCATGATAATTGATAGAATTGTTGAACTTGCAAAACTTTAGTTAGGCTCCCATGCTTAACTTTAATACATTTACATTTCTGAATAAGTTAAAGCAATACAAGAAATATAATTACTGCTTTGTGAAGATGAAGCTCACGCACGAATCTTCAAAAGCAAGTGATGTGACTTGGGTGCACATCTCCATGCACCCAGTAATGGTTGTTTGAACAGGTAACCCGGTGATGTTTCTTCTGTTTGGATCTGTCCTTTTGGTTTGGCCAGGCAGTAGCAGTAAACAAATGCTTTGATGTCAGTTGCTCCAAGTAAGATAAGTGTACTTTGAAACCTACCTGAAGTTGCAACTTTGCACTACTAAGTTTTTAATTGGGGTGGAAAAAATCTGAACTGTAAAGGTAAATGTGCCTTATCCCAGTGTCAGTACAATCTGGTGTGTCCCTGTTCTGCTTTCTCTTGTGTTACTCCTCCTAAGCTAGGGAGGCGCAGCTCTCCCATACAGCATCCTTACTGATGTCGTGGTTGACATGACTGCATATTTTGAGCACACGCACCCAGAGACGTCCAGCATCATCACTGTTGCTCCTCAGGTGCTTGCTTAGTTCCTGCTGAAGCCCAGATCCTTTTAAGTGCCCAAAGGAGGTGAGGCTGTGCCCACAAGATAATGAATTCAAGATCAAGCTTTTCTGCATGTAAGTCGGTAGGAAGTAGTGGGACCAAACATGCTATGACTTGATGCCCTGGCAACATTCCTGAGCTTGGAATCACATTCCCACGGTGCTTAGGACAGCAGGGGAGTGGAAAACCTGTGGGCTGTGGGGCTTAATGTATTTCAGCCCATATGACTCCTGACAGTTGAGCCAAAGACTTTGTTAAATGAAAAAAATATGGCATCAGAACCTGCTGGGTTCCAGGCTATTGCAGTCTGCTCCTGACTTTTGTTTTGGGGAAGGGGTTTTTGAAGCATGTTGTTGAACCTGGGACAATACTGTTAGCATCCTTTTGTACTGCATTGTGTACTGATGAGTTGTTTTATATAGGCTGTGTAAACTGACACTGGAGACTGACTGACTGAGAAATTCACGAGTTAACTAATGTGGTTTTCATTTGAAATTCAGGCAGAGCTGGCAGTAAAACATGTTTGTCTTTTCATTTTAATGCAGATGTAGCATGACTGGTCTTAAAGTGCAGAAGCAACCATTCCCATCACTGGGGAAATGATACATAGAGTGGCTGTTTCTTGCTAGTCTGGCTTCGATGTACCTAATGTGCCAAACATGGAACTGCAAAATATTTGATTAACTGCAAAGGTATCAAAGCGGATAAAGATGTAATTCTTCTGTAAGCCTGACTTTCAGTATCTTTCTGTACTGCGTATTTCTTGGTGTACAGTGCTGTTTTACTTACTTTACACTTAATAAGTGATGGGAAAACAGTTTCCTAAGTGCCTTACAAAGTACATACATTTAATGATTGCTCATTATCCTATGATCTGGCATAAATACCGTAGAGCACAAAGAGAGAGGCTTATAAGTGGCTTTTGTAGAATCCTGAGTAGCTGTTCCAGGAATTCACTCTACACTGCTTTTTTGCCTCCTGTTTTTTATGGAGTGCCATATCTACAAAAAGTACCATTTGAAAAGTGACTGTTTGGAACACCACAGGCTTAAAAGGCCATTAAAGAATGTGCTGTAGCTCTGGGCCAAGTTTGGATGGCATTTTGAAAGTAGCAGTCCTAGGAGTGACCTGCGAAACAGAGATGCTAAGGTAATAGATTATGAAGTTCTTTTCCATTCTGTGATTGATGTAACAGAATCTATTCTACAAGGGAAAAGGAAGTTTATTTGCTTTTACATTCTTTTTCCTTTCCCTATTTCAAAAATCAGCCCCTTCTTGGAATTTGTGATATTGGGCAAAACTCCAGGGAACAAGAGAACATAAAAATGTCCAGGCTTCTGAGTCTGTTAGGCATTCATGCACATAAGGAAAGAAATAATTTGTAGACCCCCTCCTCCTCCAGCAAAAAAAAAAAGTATCAGGGAAAAAAAGGGCTTCTCTGAAGATGTGTAATACTCAGTACAATGTTGTTTTATGGCCTGGCATCAGTTCTACATATGTTAACAA